TTGTTAAAATATCTAGCTGTACATCAAACGTTCATCATAACAGAAATGTGAGCAGGATAGAATAACGATATATCTGCTTTAACAAGCCTTAAAACAGAACTTCAGAGTAAATATAATACAACTTATCCATGTGCTTTCTACAGTATATTACAACAGTTTTCTTGAGACACGTCATTAACCTCCAGTAATAAAGTAATAGAGCATCAGACAAGAAATTACTCATCAGATTCCTTGAATGAACCACCTTGAATTTATAAGGTAGGCACAAATTTCCTTTTGAAGCAAGGGTATAGTGTGTGCTGGGATTTGGCCCACCAGATGGGTCTGATTAATGCTTCCTATGCCTACAAATGTGTTCTTTCACTTTAACCCAAGAGGCATTTTAGCAGGTTTCCTATGAAGACGTTGAAAGTTGACACTGTCTCATGGGTGAACAGCTGTGTCTCATACTGTATATACAACCTTGTCAAAGCAAACATCTTAACTGGCCTGGAATTTTGTAGATGTTAGACGACTCACTACTCATATACAAGAGTATTGTATATAATAAACAGATTTTTTTTTTTTTTAAAAAGGAAAGAAAACTAAATCAACAGTACAGTAAGTTAAATATAAGTACAAGAATGAAAATGATTTAAAACCAGAAGTACAAATATGATTGTGGAACTTTTGACGGTTCCTCCATTTTATCCAACATCACTGTGCATAGTTCTTACATTGATAAATGTCATTGGCCATTTGAATTTTCAAAAGAATAGCAGTCATCTTGGGCTAAGAGCCCTGCCCTATTCCCTGAACTCTTTCAGAATTTCACATGTGTTTTTATTGATCACTTCGCGCAGCCTGCGAAGCCGTCGCACACTGAACTGGCTGACGAAGCTGTCTGGCTGGAGCACGGCCATTCCATTGTGCACGTCACCCATGATGATGATCTGACCATCCGAGGTAGTGACATTGGGACACGGGCAGTTCCAGTCCATGTTTTGCAATGTCACCTCCAAGGGTTCATTCTGCAGGAACTTAAGCCCCATCTTCTCATCCTTAAGGATCTCATCGATGTTGATCTGCGCCCGGCCCGAGCCTTCCTCTTCTGTCAGCTCTGTCATGCGGCCCAATATCACAAAGTCACTCTTGCAAAAACTGGACACGATCTTGTGTTGTGATTTGCATGGCTTGCAGCGGTGGTTCTTTGGATATGGGCATAAGTCCTCGCATGCCTCTTTTGTTTCAAAGTTGTTGTCATTGCCTCCACAACCCCCATAAATGAAGGGCTGGCACTGTTTGAGGGTGCTGCTATAGGACCAGCGTGGCTTATAAAATTTACAGGGGCCCTGCAGGCTTGGAAGACCACATGGGGTGGGCAGTTCAGCCTGGCAGGACAGCATGCAGGAGTCAAAGTTGTCAAAGTGGTTCTGGTTCTGATTGCAGTTACCGTAGGTGAATACGAAACAACTGTTCCTCTTGCTGTCATAGTACCAACTTAGCTTCTGCCCGCCACAGTCACCAGTGTCTGGCTCCTTCATGCACTCCTCAGCAGGGAAAGGAGACAGGTTCTTTGGCTTCTCTTTCTCAATTGGGTCTCTCTGTATCACAGAGAGTGGGAAATGAGCTTGGAGAGAACCACCTGAGTTTGTGGCTGTGCAGGTGTAGACACCTATATCTTCTAGCTGGGCGCTGTAAATCACGAGCTGTCCAATATTAGTGACAACCACATTTCCCAGCACATGATTGGGTTTCATAATAATGTTTTCTTTTCCCTCCAGTTGCTTCTCCCAGGTGATCTCAGGTTTTGGCCAGCCAGTCACTTCACAAAGGAAGCTGGCTGTATCGCCCACAAACACAGACTGTTCCATTAGGCTCCCAGTTATGACTGGGGGCTGCACATTTAATGGAGTGGTGAGCAGTAGGGTGGTCGTTGGGAGGGCGGTGGTTCCTGGAGGTAGAGGACTAGTGTTTACAGGGTGGGACCTGCAGGTCACAACAGACAGGGAGATACCTTTGGAGCATGCTTCAGCATCCATGTAGCACTTGTTATAGTAGGTCATCCCATCAGAAGCACAGGTGAAATGCGGCTCCTTTTCACACCGATCTCTGCACTTGCATGTGGGCTGCCCATTCCAGATGTGGCACTCAGAGCCCTGTTGAGTGCACATGAACTTGTCGCAGGTTGGCTCTTTGGTTATGCCATCAGCTCCGTTCTTCGCTGACGCATCCACGTAGCGGGCTGCCACACAGCTCCTGCTCCCACAAACATTTGCGCAGCACTTTTCAAATGTCTCACATTCCTAAACAGAGAACATAACCAGACACTAAGTTTTATAAGAATTCACTTTGCAATATTTTCTTTGTTTATCCCATTATTATTATCATTGTTGTTGCTGTTATTATCATGTTCTTTCTATGCACTTTCAGTAATTGTATTTCAATAATGCTGTTACATTTATTCAATTATTAGTTAATACATTCATCTTCAGTACTGGTCAGGGTTGTGGTGGATCTGGGTTCAAGGCAGGAATACACCCAGGATGGGACACCAGTGTATCCAGGTCACCGCATGCATACACATTCACACTTAGGGACAATTTAGAGTACGTATCATCATTACATTTATTACTGAAGTATATTATTAGAGAAAAGACATAGAACCCTCTGAGAGAACACTTCTACGGTTCTATGAGTGATTCCTAATTAGAGAGATTTCCAGGTAGGAAACTAATTATCCAGAAATAACCCTTGAAGTATGTGTGTATATATATATATATATATATATATATATATATATATATATATATATATATATATATATATATATATATATATATACTCATATATATATAACATGTTTTATCTGAGAGTGAGTCTGCAGTTTGGATCTATTTGTAGACTTCTTGCACTTCTTGGGTTCTTCATTGGTTCTTTGGATGGTTGATGGTTCCAGAGGTTTCTGAAAGTTTTCATAGATCCCCCTTTTTTTTCTTTTTTTTTTCTACAATGGAACAAAGAATGGAGAAGCGCTCACCTGGTCGGACTCGCACTCCCGGGTGCAGGTGCTCATTGCGTCCACCCACAGGTTAGGGTTCACATCGTTAGGACAGAGACCCGGGTGCGAGTACGCAGCTTTCTGCAGTGCCATGCCTCTGACGCGTAACATTACCAACTCACCGGCCAAAAACAACCATATCCAGAGACGCATCGTTTTATGGGAGCTACTTATTCTCAGGAACTGAAGAGCTGGGATTTCTGTCATCTTTGCGCGCAAAGACAATACACCGGCACATTCAGCGGTGCCAAAATATTCCCGTGAAAACCCGGCTGAACGCAGAAAGATCTGATCGATCGAAGCGTGTAGAGAAGGAAGTTTGAAGTCCCTGTATTTATACCCTATTGTAATACCGAGTGGAGCCGAAGCCGATTTCCTCTGACCACAGGATCTCACCGTTACGCGCACATGACAGTTATGAATGGCTCCGAGGTTTATTATAGAGGCTTTAAAAAACATCTGTCCTAAAGTTGGGGTTGGTACTGGGATACCTGCCTGCGTGAGAAACGCCTGGAGCCCGTGTTAACCCTTCAGAGGCAAACCTGAGATGTGTCAAAGTCATGCGCCTACTACAGCTCCGAGTCTGTCAATAGAAATGTTTTCCTTACTGTTAGATTGCACTTCAAGTAGGTGGTGTTTGGTTTCATAGCTCCGGTCTGGAACTGTTCGGTTCTATTGATTAGGTGAGTGTCTTGGTGGGGCAAAAAAAGAATAATTAATTAATTAATTAATAAAGGAAGGGAGGAACAAGTAGAACACGTAAGGTGAGAGTCTATAAATGTGTTCACAATAAGAACAGAGTATTAGGGGAGAGCGGGGTCAGTTGTAACCGGGGTCAGTTCTATCAATTGCGCCAATCAGCAACAAGGTGATGCTCATTCTGAACATGCTTGTGTGTCTGCAAAAATAGGCAAAAAAACATCAACTAAATCACAAAATTTGTTGTCCTCATCGGGAGAATGTTTTCAATAATAATAATAATAATAATAATAATAATAATAAAAAATAACAATCTCACGGTGGCTTAGTGGTTAGCACGTTCACCTCACACCTGCAGAGTTGGGGTTTCGATTCCCACCGGGGCCATGTGTGTGTGGAGTTTGCATGTTCTCCCCGTGCTGCGGGGGTTTCCTCCGGGTACTCCGGCTTCCTACATGTCTTCGGTCTGTAGGAAGTCCAAAGTCCAAATGTTTCATCCAAATGTTTTCCCCAGTCCAAATGTTTGAACTGGGTACCCCAGTCCCAAGACATGTATGATAGGCTGATTGGCATGTCCAAAGTTTCCGTTGTGTATGAATGAATGTGTGAGTGTGTTTGTGATTGTGCCCTGCGATGCCTTGTGCCCAATGTTCCCTGGGATAGGCTCCAGGTTTCCCCTCCAGGTTTTCCACTAGCTCGCTCTCACCTACTGTATGATGACAGCTACCAACCAGGGAGAGTGAAGGTTAGCATGTGCTTCCTCTGATACATGTGAAGGTAACCATCTCTTTAAACTGCTGCTCATCACAGAGTGGCTGAACAGTTGGTAGAAGAAGAGTTTCTTGTTAGAAACTCACCAACTGACATTGGCACATACATGGCCAATTGCAGTCCTATACTCCCAACCACTGATGGTTGTTGAATTGTCAAGATTTGAATTCACGATCTCTTGATGAAAGGGAAAAATGCTTTTCTATTCAGCCACTTGGTACCTTGGATTATGTGTTCATTGTATATGCAAATTAAACTAAAAGAGGCTAAGTATCGATTTGACTTTAACATGCTTGTTGATTGAGGATGCTAGATGATTTGCTAGCATATCACGTTTCAACATGGTTGCCAGTGTGGGTTAGTTGTAATAGAGTACAAAAAGAAAGTAACAAAGGAGAAATGGTTTCTATCTTGGAAAACCCTGGCATATGGATGAATGTGTGATCTGTGTTATTAACGTTTTAACAGATGTTTGAACATTTTAACAGAGGGCATGGAAGCTTAGTGGTTAGCACATTTGCCTTGCACCTAAAGGGTTGAGGGTTTGTATCCTGCCTATGCCTTGTGTGCGCAGAGTTTGCATGTTCTCCCCGTGTTTTGGGGATTTCCTCCGGGTACACTGGTTTCCTCCCCCAGTCCAAAGACATGCATTGTTGGCTGATTGGTGTTTCCAAATATTCCGTAGTATGTGAATGTGTATGAGACTGTGCCCGATGATGGGAAGTCTGGGCACAAGGCTTCAGGTTCCCTGTGACCCTATGTAAGATAAGTGGTATGGAAAATGCATGAATGGATGAAACATGAAAATACACAATATGGCCAAAAGTATGTGGACCATCACACCCATATGTGCTTGCTAAACATCTTGTTCCAAAGCCATGGCCATTAAGATGGAATCTTTCTCCTTGCTCTTCAAGGAAGGTCGTCCACTAGATTTTTGGAATGTAGCTCTTGTGCACTTTCAGCTACAACAGCATTAGTGAGGTTAGGCAAGAAAGCCCTGCTCAGTAAACGCTCCATTTCATCCCAAAGGTTTGGTGAAGGCCCAAATATGGGTGTGATGGTTATGAACTGAGCTGCAACAATTGAGCCCACACCATGTTAAAGCATTTTAAAGATTTTTATTCCTTATTTGGTCCTGAATTAATTTCATGTACTTTGTTAACATTAAAATTGTATTTGTTTAACAGCAATAGTTATGAGACAAATGTACCTATCATGTGTCAAAAAATAATAATAATAATAATAATAATAATAATAATAATAATAATAATAATAATAATTTTTAAACCACAGTGCTTTAGAAAAATTAAAATTTTAATAAAAATTTTGGAATTGGAGATTTCCCAAAATGTGACAGATGTTACAGCAGACCCCACTCTCCCCTATGAAACAGCATGGTTGTGTTCTGGAATTAATTTATCAGTGCCACACTAAAACATTCCTAACACCTGGAATCAAACTGTCAGTTATACAGTGACACATGTTCATCTTATTTACCAATAGACCATGTGCACCATAATGTCAGGGAAGTGAATTTAAAGCAGAATGTAACATACAAAGTTTTGTTCAACACAATTTAACAATAAGGTAACACGTGTACATTTTCAGTTTCAATAGAATTGAAAGAGTATTTCTTGAATGCAAGCGTTAGATTTATCCATCCATCCATCCATCTTCTACCGCTTACTCCTTTTCAGGGCCGTGGGGGAACCTGGAGCCTATCCCAGGGAGCATCGGGCACAAGGCGGGGTACACCCTGGACAGGGTGCCAGTCCATCGCAGGGCACAATCACATACACACTCACACACCCATTCATACACTACGGACACTTTAAGCATTAGATTTATGTGTAGATAAATTCCTCATCATAGATTTCAGATTAAAGCATAGAATTATTTCTGTTATGGAGGAGAGAGAATGTAATTTTATTTATTTTTTAATAGAAAGCTGTTTAAAACAGCTTTTAATAAATGAACCCAAAAAGCTGATCTTCACTGTTATTGGATCTACATTTGGAATTATGTGCTGTGTTCATATTGAAAAAATGATTTTGGCCAAGAAAGCCCCTATGGCCACCGTAAATGTTGGTAGTAGAGCATTGGTGATGAAATGGCTTTTTTCAGAGAAGAGTCCAGACATTCCTGTACGATTGATGGTATGAATGGTATGTTTTTGCCCAAAACCAATTGCATTTACATTTACGGAACTTGGCAGACTACTTTATCCAGAGTGCTTTGAAGTCTCTATCAATAAATACGTCCTGATACAGGTTCATTAGGTCACGGACAAAGAATACCGCCAGTCTAAAAATTATTTTCGGCGGTAATATAATAAGAAAAGCACTACACATGTTTTTAAAGTGCAAATATCAGTACTTTATGAAGAGGTAGGTCTTTAGATGTAGTTTAAAAACTGCCAGTGAATCAGCTGTTTGGACATCTAGGGGAGGTTCATTCCACCATTTACAATAGGTGCCAGAACAGGGAAGAGTCTTGATGCATGCATTCATTGTACCCTGAGAGATGGTGGGACAACTGAAGCAGTGTTAGAGGTTCAGAGGGAGCATGGTGTAGTGTGGGGTATAATTGCCTCTGCCAGGATCTTAAGACTTGACCATAGTTGGATCAAAATAATGAGCCACACATACAGTCATGTGAAACAATACATACACCCCATGGAACCCATGTCACACCCATGTCACACCCCTCTTCATCTCCCACCACTGACTTCCTGTAGCCGCCCGTATCAAAATCAGGGTCTTGATGCTCATGTACAATACTTTGTCTGGAACAGCACCCCCTACCTGAACACTCTCCTGTAAGCTACGTTCCCTCGCGCAATCAATGATTGATCAATTAGAGTAGTGCCTACTCAGTGTGGCTCAAGGTCCCTTTCCAGAAGCTTCACACTAACTGTCCCTCAGTGGTGGAATGAACTTCTAACCTCAATCCAGACCACAGAATCTCTCACTATCTTCAAAAACACGTACCTAACCTCTAAAACACCAACCCCACATTATTTCACATTTAAAAAAAAACAACTTACACCTCTACTCTGCGCACTTTGCTTCTCTAGAACTCAATTATGAATCTTTTTCAATATTTAAAAAAAAAAATTTCAGTAATTTATTCAAAAGAAAATCGCCACAGATGCAGATGGACTCTGAGACTAACCACATAAAGTGTGTGTTATACTGGGAAACCCCATTGTAGCCTCAGATTCCTGTTCTTGGCTGACTGAAGTGGAAGCTAATGTGGTGTGGTCTTCTGCTGTTGCAGCCTATCTGCCTCAATGACATGCTGTGCATTCTGATAAGCTTTTCTGCTCTTCATGGTTGTAAAGCGTGGTTATTTGAGTTACCCGGGCCTTCCTGTCAGCTCAAAACAGTCAAAACTATCAGCAGAAGTAAAGGAGATCAGCAGGTTTTGAAATACTCAAACAAGCCCATCTTGTACCAAAAACCATGCCATAGTCAAACTGATTGTGTCCCATTCTGATGCTTGATGTAAACATTAACTCAAGCTCTTGATTTGTCTCTGCATGATTTTATGTATTGCCCTGCTACCACATGATTGGCTGATTGGATAACTGGATCAATGTGCTGGATGACAGGTGTTCCTAATTGGACAGCAGGCAGTGAGTGTACATTAAGCCTTCATTTTTAACTCAACAATCATTGTATGTATTTGCCAAGAAGGGGGCCAACAATTATTTTAGCTACCAAAATTGTTGAGTTGTTTGTAGCTAAAAAAAAACAAACAAACAAAAAATCCCCCAAACATTTATTTTCACTGTGCTAAACAAAATCTGAACTTCAAACTTAAATCATAACCATGAGCTGTACTTAAATCTCACCCTAGCGTCTTCAGTGGGAACAGAATTAAACACGATTTATATTCAAATAAATGCTTTCTCTGGTGATAAAATGAGAGACATACCATTTAATTAAAGGCAAACCGTTTCAATTTAAAAACGTTACACAGGCTAAACGAATCTACAGTGTGGTGTCATTAGTATTTTGTAGGCAGCTTGAGACTGAGACTTTGATTGGTCTCATTCTTTGATGTGGCTCAGCGCGTATATTTTTTTATGAATAGTTTTGCAGCTTACAGTCAGCAGAGCTTTTAGATCACACAAATTTAATCACTTTCTGTAGCCCGAGTAACATTAAAAAAAAAAAAGCTGTTGGCGTAAAATTGTTGCTACAAAACCCCTGTGTATGATGGAATCCACATTTTTCTAAATAAATCTTTACTAATGAACTTCAAAGTAGTTGGGGTGGAAGGTGCTCCTGGGGGGTTCCAGTTCCTGGTACCCCTCCCTGCACTTAATAGGTTCACTTTTACTGTGCTTGTTTTTGTGCCTTGGATTAAGTTTCTGGTGAGCAAATCAAGGAGGAGATTTTTTATAATTACTGGAAACTCGATGTCCTCACATACCCTCGCAGAGCAAAACAACTTGTACACTACACATCAAGGGTGTCAAATGAGGACAAAGGCAGATTCTAGATTATATTGCAGCACTGTAGCTTAATAATATTGATAATTCCTGAACAAAACATGTGATATTTGAAATAATTTAAGACTAATCTGATTTAGAATGATCGGATCAGTAGATAATACTGATAATAAAACTTTGAATAAGCAAAGTTTTACAATGGACTTGCATTTACCTTAATGTAAAAGTGTTTAGTTTGCCCGTTAGCACTGTTAGCATATTTCATTGCTTTGCTAAGATGATCTATACAATGTCCTTGGATCCCCTGCAAGATGCTCATCTCATTATCTTATATCTAGAGCTCACACACATAGTGTGAAGGTGAACATGACTTTATGAAAAAAAAAAAACCTTTTCATTCAATTAGGTTGTAATTATGAATCGTTATTTGAAAGTGAATGAGGGTGTGTATCTCTTTTAATGGTTATATTTATGTATTTAAAAAACAAACAAACAAAAAAACGTGATCCATTTTAAGATTTGTGATAGCAAATACTGATCTAGTAATTCACCCAATGCAAACTACCATACCTCATAACCCGTTGAGAACAACAAAATGTACTTTGTAGTCTTTCTGTCTCTCCTGTTTTAGACAATAATAGAGGGTTATATTCAGCCTTTTCGGTCTGGAGAATTCCCAAGATGAGGACAGTGCACCCTCAGGCAGGGATAAAAATCTTTATTGGGAATGTGTGTAAATTGCTGGCGTATAGAGACACAGAACGCGAGGCATCTCCTTTTATGATTGATTACATAAAGAGCAGTTTTGTATGTCTCATTCTTTCACACTTCTGATTCCAGGAGACAGCTCACCTTATCTGCCCTTTGTGGCAGCAATGCATTCACAGCGTGTTGAGTGAAAGGTTTCATTTGGCACGAGAAATTATAAACTGTTGTCAATTCTGACTGATGCAACCTGGGGCGAAAAGCGGGTGTGCAGGAGTTGGCTGATTATCTTTTAAAAGCTCAAACGGGGATACAAATAAGAGTTAAAAAGCTAAATGGTTTACTATAATCATTATTTATACAGCCTTTTTACTTTGAGTAACTCACATTATACAC